CCGTATTATGACATTTAACACATAATGTTAGATAACTAAATTCTTCTGTTTTTCTATAATTATTTATGATTCCAAACCGTGTGATGTTGTGTCGGGCTGGTAATAAATAAAACAGTGATGATATCAAATGTAAATATGCCTAAAAACCAAATTACACTTAAGTTTCTAATAGCAGCATAAGCATCTATGATTGGTACTCTTCCGTCCCGATATAATAAACGAAATAATTATTACCACCACTCGATGGTGTCAAATATAGAAAGCAGGAAAACATTCGATAACCGAGACGGTACCGTACCATACCTTTTGGCACTTTTTAAATGAGTACCGACATTGACGTGCAGATAAGTTCTAGTCAGTAAGTCTGTGACACATTGTGATTAAAAACCTAAAATGTATGTTTTAAAGCGTCGTACAATATTATCATCAACCACATTTATAATCACAATAGCATTATCCAACGATGATAAATTATTCATAAAGCATAGATGGAAGAATGTTGATTTTTTGGTTCAAATGGTGAGTGTTATTATTGTAATCTATTCCGGTGAACATAATAACAAGTAACATGCGAAACACCAATTAAAACTCGTCTTGAATTAGGTGAAAAATATGATTCATCAATATTTTATTCTTGAATTAAATGAAAATAAAAATCAAAGTAAACTAATTTTGGATGATGCATTTTTTGAACAATTCAATTCATTATGTTCTATTCATATAATAAATGTTAAAATTGAACGTTTAACATGGAATAATCGATATTCACATTATTTAAATGATTTATGTTTTATACGTTTGATAAACAATAATTTACATTAGTTGAATATTGATTTTAGTAGATTACCAAATTTGACAACAATTATTCTAAGTAAAAATCCATTATCAACATTATCACTTTTTAGCCAATAAAAATTTAAACAGAGAGCCATTTCGCTTAACGGTCAACAGATGTCTATGCGTTACTCGTTTTTATCGTTTTGTTGTATCTATAGAATTTAAATAAAACATCGTGAAAAGCTTGAAGACATCTTATTTTGTAACCAAAACTGTGTTCGTCAAAATCCATAAGAAGCTCAATGTTAGATATTGAGCTATCTTTCTGATCCAGTCAAATTTCTAATAATCCCATTTCGCTGGCAATTCAGCTAGGGAAAAATTACTATAGCAGAAAACCGATCGTATATTTTGAAATGATTCTCGAGTAGGTATTGACGAGCACACTCTTACCTACAAAATGGGACATTTCTCAAGTCTCCACGGTCTCTCATTCAAATATC